CGACTCATTTTCATCCAGGTGTTGAGAGGTGTTCGCGTGTAGAGGATAAAAGAAAGATGAAGCACATGGCTGACACGAGATAACTTGCCGCACACTCTTCCAGGTGATAAAGAATTCTGTTATATATATATATATATATATATATATATATATATGTATTTGTTACTCTCGTTATTCGATCGAGCACTATAGAAAAAAGGGTAATTTCAAAACAGTAGCGGCCGTTGCTATTAACGCACCGCCCTTCATTAATTAATTAAGTCTCTGGCTGATGACGGTTATATATATCCGTATATAATACGTTAGTATTTATTTCCCTTTCTCTTGTGTGCACTGAGAGCTTAGGGGTAGGATCTCTGACTTATGCCAAATCGGTCGGGTTTCGATTCCCGCTTAAAGTAATTGGATGTCTAGCCACACTGATGAGTTGTGATACAGCAAAACAAGCTTGTATCTGGATGACTATATATATATATATATATATATATATATATATATATATGGCCCTTTAGGTCGTAGGCGATCATAGATTGCCACACATTTATTTTATCATTAATGAATTGATATGATTATCGTGGAAAATATTACATATCGCGATACGGACTTATTGATCCACTTGTGTATGTGTGTGTGTGTCTCCGCGCGCGATAGAGAGGCAGCATGAAGGAAGGATAGAACGAAACCAAGGAAAATGTTTTGTTGAAAGAGGAAATAAGCGAGGGAAAGAGTTAGGGGGAACAGGGCGTAAAAGCTTTCTGAATAAAGAGAGAGAGAGGGAGAGAAAGATGGGGACAGATAAAGTGAGAAAAGTACCTGAATGCTTTTATATTTTAAATATACATGACATGAAACCGTTTATTTACTGTTCGATATTCCAATCACCTAAAGAAGGCCATAGAGTACAACGGAACATGACGATAAATATGAGAACAGCACCTCGAACAATGTAAATAATGAAAATAATTACAATACGTAATTTTAGAAATATAGACAGATAGGAAGATGCAGTGAAATATTTACGTTTATCGAACTTTTTTCGTTCATTATTAACGACTTTAGTCTACGCATGCGCGAGCGGTTAGTACGTTAGAATTTGTAACTGACGAGGATCTATTTGCCAACTTTGTAGTAGCGGTTCAGTGAGATGATCCAAGCAAGTGACTCAATTGGAAATCATACTAGTAGTTGACCTGTAGAAAAATCACGTGGTAGAGATAAACACTCAGTTGTGGAGCAAGTGAATAATAATCCAACCTTTAGAAAGAGAACTATTTATGTTGCAATGGAGTATCTCATTGTGCAAAAGTGGGATAGTCCATTGCTTGGGATGTGATTGGCTGCTGGTACCTGAGTGGAGGTATTTCTATATAAATACAAGCTTGATTCATCAGTTAGTTTGCAGGGCTTGTATTAAGTTACAACCTGCTTTATTTTTGTCTGCGTGCTGGACGCTAGCTGGGACCTTTACACCGGTAAGTGCTGTTTATTATTGTTATCCTACATTGACCCATGACATATGAGCGAAATTGGTTAGCGAAAACTCGCACAAAATTAAGTCATCGTTACCAAGGAGTTGAGTGTAATGGTCTTGGTTATGTCCGCTTATTATATTTGCAATAGGAACAATAGGTAGTTCTGTGGATTTTGAAGAATTATAATTCAACCATGAATTAAATATTGCTGCTACATCTGGTCTGATGTTTCAGATCCTTCTAGGTATTCCTAATAAAATCCAGAACCTGAACGTTAAGAACCTGCCATATCAGCGTCAGTCACTTTCCCGCTGCAGCTTCCCTCGCACTTCTCACGTGTGGAACTCTCTTCTGGCTTCTTGTTTTTCTGTCAACTACGATCTCCGAAAATGTAAATGCAAAGTCAATTGTCGTCATCTTTGAATTCTGTTCTTTTTATTGTCTTTTCTCCCTCCTCAGCAACGTTTTCTCAGTTTTCCTTCACTAATCCATCTGGCTTAGTGACTTTTGCACTTTGCTGGACGTGAATTTTTTTTTAAATCATTTCACCCAAAGCAAGTCAATGATGCCACTAGGAATCAAGGGGTTACTGAATGTTATAGAATATGAGAAAATATTATTAAAGAGTGAGTACAATAAAAGAACAGGAATTAAGAAGGCAGAAGATAGCAATTGACATTGCAACTTGACTATGAAGCAATAAACCAGAAGACATTTGCACAAGCGAGTAGTGCGATAGTAGAAACTGCTAGCATAGAATATACGTTCTTATAAAACCATTTCAATTATTAAACAATGAGACCTTGCCGCCAATCTAGTACCTCGCTTGAATTCATAAAGCCTAGGTACCATAGAGTGATATTTATTCTGCTATGTACAGAAATGTAGCACAAGGTCAAAATAGGCAATGGGGAAAAAGACGGTCTTCTTCTGTCTTAACTTTAAACTTTGCTAGCCACAAACACTGACCCAAATATACAAACAATAATTCTAACACCAAAACAACGCATTCTTAATTACCTTTCTTACTACATTCACCATAATACCTCATTGTCTCCATAAAAACAACTAGTTAGTCCCCATATGTATAATTCGTTGTCTGTAAAGGGGAAGGGAATAAAACCATAGAGCTCATCAGAACAACTGCCATGGAAGTATTTATAGAAAATACCGAGGTGGGAAAGCGAATAAAGCTAAGATGCAAATTCAGGATCGATAACATTGCAGATTATTCTGTGGATTTTATCAAGAATATTTAAATATATAGAAAGAGTATTTGTCGAGATGTGGCAGCAATATTCAAAGCAGGGATGAATGGTAGACTTAAATGTGTAAGATAGATTCTGGCGAGAAAGATTGTTTAGATTGACACAGAAAACCAACTTAGTACCTAGTACAGGACCAAGCAATTGATTTAATATAATCATTCCACTTCACGTCATCGGAAAACTTTAGTCCAAGAAAGTGCATTGAGACTCTTCTGAAGGTTAGCATGTACCAAACTGATAGAAGGTAAAATGGTTCACTCATGAGATTAAAAGAGTAGTTTCGTTTAGGAGGGGTTAATATTCTACATAAATTACCTTTTGATGAGTCTAGCTTTTTCTGAAATATTCCGCTGCTGGTGGTTGAATTGGTCTCATTTTAAAGTACAGTGTGACCCGGATATAAGAGAGAGATTTTCTCTGGTCCCAAATTAGAGCCTGTGTTAATGTATATAAAATAGACCAAACCCGGATATAAGAGACTTCTTCTCCGGTCGCGACAACTCTCTTATATCCGTGTTACACTGTATTATAAACAAAAACTGATGGTCGACCCTTTTGGTGCTTTATTTCAATGGAAGCCTCCTTTAAAAGACTTAATCAAATCATGTCTTCTATATGGAACTGAATGCGGGACAAGAAGGATGCTGAGAATACCATAGACCGAATATATGAGCAACGGTGAAGTTTTAGAGAAAATGGAAACAGAAAGGACACTTATACTGAACATCGGGAAGAGAGAGTTTCTTGAGTACATAATGAGGACAGAGGGTTTGGAAAATTAGATGCCGACAAGACAAACAGAAGGCAAAGGGGCAAGAAGAAAACAACGCATACCCTACCTATAACGCTTAGGTAAATAGGATAATTCCGCTATGCAATTAAAAACTTTATTGCCAGGAAATGTCAGAAAAGCGTTCCATAGTTTAGTCGAGGATTTTTTTTTTACCTGAAATAGTATAACATATTACTTTACTTTGGCTTTCAAGAGACTTCTTCTAATCCCTGCTAGGTGGTGTTGTATAAATCCTTTTGAGATTAAATGGTACAAGGAACCCCTTCACATAATATCACTGCATTATCTCCTATACGAAGAAAAACTCATGCGACCACAATAATGTAGCCAAAAGAATCTTTCAAATAAATATAGTGATTTTCCAAGCGTAGCTCAGATGTGGCACAAAGCCGAAAGTATGGGGCACCCAGTGAGGATCGAACTCACTACTCAGTCCTTTCAAATAAATATATATCTTCCTCCTAAAAAACAATTTTTCAACTCCGCTAAAATCTGGTAAAGTAATATTTTTACAAAGAAAAGATATAACCGGTTGTTCAGTCACTCTCCTGCATTTGCTGTGGTCAAGCATGCATCTTTCGTTTGGGTCTTGTTTGGTTTGGTTTGTTTTGTTTTACGGCATATCAACATCTCAATGGGTCATTTAATGCCGACAAGATTTTTATTGCCGGTAATATTTTTTTTCCCAAATTGTATTTCTGGTAATAATACTGTTACAAAATATTTCTGCAATTAAAACCTATTTTTAAACTTTCATAGTGTTTTGACTCCAGCTTTGGGGTGGGTAACTATTTACCCATAGCTGGGACCCTAACAGGTTAGGGTGGACCTGGAAACACCAGCAATTAAGTGGTGATTCCACGCTCCTCAAAACCTCCAGATCAGAAACCTTGTTGTTAGACGGAATTTATTGTCTTACCCAGGACGCGGACGTAGTTTATCGTCATAGCCATGACGGCATTTGGGTCTCGCTAACCATTGACATGTGAGATCTTCAAAAATCTTCGACTGCAAAATCAGTATACGACAATATCGTATGTATAAACGAACTTGAATAGAAAGTTAATTTGAACAAAAACCTATAGATTATTTTATTGTTTGTAAAATATATTTTCAGTAAACACAAACACTATAATATATATATATATATATATATATATATATATATATATACACGCATGATTATAAAATAATCGTATTCCTGGGAATGAAAATAAAGGGAAAAAATTCATCTCTCATCACAAATCTTTCAAGTATTGAATATCTATTATTGTGATTTAGATATTAATTTAAAATGAAGCGCCTTCGGCTACGTTCTTCATGAGAATTAGGGATGTCTCTCCTAACTTTTAATTCATATTTCCTATGAATCAAAAAAAAAAAAAAATACATCGAAAGGTAGCCGCGAAAATTAAATTGAATGAAAAAATTGAAAAAAAAACATTCAATTCTCATGCTTGAAATAAATTAAATGAAAAGCAAAAAAGAAATGAAGGAGAAAGAAAAAAAGCGAAAGACAGAAGGAGAAAGAAAAAGGGCGAAAGAGAGAAGGAGAAAGAAAAAGAGCGAAAGAGAGAAGGAAAGAAAAAAAGAGAGAAGGAAAGAAAAAAAGAGCGAAATAGAAAAAGAAAGAAAAAGAGCCAAAGAGAGAAGGGAAGGAAAAGAAAAAAGATCGAAAGAGAGAAGGAAAGGAAAAGAAAAAGACCGAAAGAGAGAAGGAAAGGAAAAGAAAAAAAAATCGAAAGAGAGAAGGAAAGGAAAAGAAAAAAGATCGAAAGAGAGAAGGAAAGGAAAAGAAAAAAAGATCGAAAGAGAGAAGGAAAGGAAAAGAAAAAAAGATCGAAAGAGAGAAGGAAAGGAAAAGAAAAAAAGATCGAAAGAGAGAAGGAAAGGAAGTAGCATTAGTGAGAGTAAAGACATTTGCAAAGTCGTGGATATTATCAAGAGATGAGAAAGAAGAAGAAAAATAGATTCAATAAACGAATAAAAAAACTGCATTATGCGGATTATACAAAGAGAATAAAAGAAAAGGAAGGACAAGTGAGAACGAAAACCGAAAGCGTATTAGGAGGATATGATGTAAGAAAAGTAGAGAAGAATCAAGGGGGCGACTCACGAAAAAGGAGGCGGAAATTGAAAAGCGAAGGAAAGAATTCCGAGGATTTGTAATTAAGGTAGATTTTGTGTAGTTAATTCAACATACCAGCCCTTAGTTGCTTGCTTAATGTCAAATACAAGTTTTATCGAACGAAAACTACAGTGAATCATCAAAATGTTAAACACAGGCACCGCTTATTACTAGAATAAAAAAATAGAAATTGGTTGGCTTGAGTTTATAAGTCCGTAAGAATCCTCCCGGATGGTGACCTTTTTTCGGTGGATGGTCTTGACCCTAAGCAGGAGATGCAGTCGACGTATTCTAAACCTCGCTGATAGAGCAGTTGTTAAAAAGAGAGACGCAAGAATCATAGACAAAAATTAGATATACAGACGAGAATAGTTGCAGAGAAAACAAATATTACGAAAGATAGAGTATACGGTCTTCGGTATAATGGCTTCCAGCGAGAATCGAACTCGCTACTCACTAATAAATAATCAATCAGAACAATTCTATAGCAACTGCACCGTGTTAACCCCAACTAAATTTGGGAGAGTAAGAATGAGCTGAAAAATTAAAAAAAAAAAAAGTAAAGGAAAGACATTTGAGATATAGGGTAAGAAACCGGAAAAGAGAGCGATAAGAAATATGAAAATTAAATGAAAAAGAATATATGGTATATTTCTGATCGTTTTCAGTGTCCTATAGTCAAATGTCGGTCAAATCCTATACATGCACATGATGTTTTCTTTATAGTAAGCAGGTCGTCTTCAAGGATAATTTTGGCGCTAGACAATCTTTTATTTATCTTCCTATTTAATATCATTACATTAATTTAGTTGTACAAATATTTCTCAAAGGAAGAAGAAAATGGAGGTTAAATATATATATATATATATATATATATATATATATATATATATATATATATATATATATACGCACATACAAACAGTTACCTGAATTTTCCATCCTCGTTGGTGAGTGTCGGGAACAACAGACAAATGCATCCAGTGGTCTCCTTTGTCGTTTCGACCATTCTCTCTATCTAACATCTGTTGCCGCTTTTGTCTTCCCTTTTGGTCTCATAGCTTCAAATACCTCCAGTATGTGAGTGCAGGTGTTATGGAATCCCAAAAATAATGCAGCTTTCGCTTTATGGCCAGTAGCAACAATCTCTCTGTTCCCGTCTCTCATATGACCGACTCATTTGCTTCCTGGTCTGTACAGGTGTTGCTCGGTGTCCCCGAGTAAAAGATAAAGCGCATGGTTAATACGTGTCAACCTTGCTGCAAACACTTCCAGGTGATAAAAATTCTTGTCGGATTACACACACTATATATATATATATATATATATATATATATATATATATATATATATAATGATAAAATATAAAATTAAGCTATGTTATATTTATGGGTTCAAATGATCAATATCAGGGATAGAGCGTATGCAAATATAAAAGTGGACATGGAAATCAGGCCATGGCAATTGCGTTTAGCATGAAACAGTCTATCGCCTCTGGAAGGGGAGTTCAATGTCCACCATATATATATATATATATATATATATATATATATATATATATATATATATGTGTGTGTGTGTGAATAAAGACAAAAGGAAAACTTCTCTAACCTACGCGTTTTGTAATTTGAGGACTGAGTTGTATCACCTCATGTCAATGAACTTGCCTGATTTTTCCGTTAACCTGGTGAATATTCATGACCACTCCTATACATTAAAGATTAGAAAAATCAATAACATTTTGCTCCTGTGTATAAATACTTGTCACAAAGTAAAATATTTACATTTGCCTAGATAAAGTACCCCCCGAAGACGAAACGCGTAGGCTCAGATAATTTTTCCATTTGTCTTTATTCATATGGTCCCTTCACAAACACACACACATATATATGTATAAGTTTGTTGTCCTGGGTTTCACGCTTTTGCGTTCGTCAGAGTTTGTCAGACGATCGCAAAAGCGTGAAACCCAGGGTCGCAAACTCACATCAATCCAACCAAATATGTTAGCTCTATCTAATATATGATATTGATCGCTTTCTAATAAGTACCGCGCATATAATATATAAATAATTATATATATATATATATAATGCCATGTCATAGCTCCCCATCGATTTCTTTTATCATTAGTTAAATCCGATGCTATCATGGAAAAGTAAGTGAGATTGTTTCCTGTTACCTTCACGCTTTTTGTATTCAGGCTCATCGTTCTCAGGTTAGAGAACCCAGTCTATCCTGTTATTTAACCTATAGCTGAAAGAAGAAAAATGCTTGTTTGTTTGTACAAATGAACACGAAACCGACTCCGAAGAAATTAGAAATCGGCTCGATGATGCGCTTGTTACCTCGTTCATGCACCGTTGCACTATCTGCAGATTCTATGAAGCTAATCTATGGTTTTACAAAGGATGATTCTTGATGAGACCAATATAGACTGACCCTACAGAAAAGTAAGCATATTTCAACAAAATCGACCGTCAATATCTCTGTTATTTTTTCTTTGTTTTATTCCATCTTACCCATTTGTATATAAGTTGTCGTAGATCCTGAACAGATAAGTAGAAAAAAAAATGTATAGTGTTCATAAAAATTTTGGTCGAGTTCTGTCGCCTATCTTTTGTCATCATGGGGAATGGATTATACTATCAGCCCCAAAGAGAAATGTGTTCATTAAATTCTTGCTATAATTTCAGCAAAGCTTAGTTTTTAATATAAATATTCGTTCAGCGAATACAACTGACTTCATATGAAAGACGATTTGGGCGTATAAATAATGAAAGAACAGATTTGTAAGTATTACCAAACTACCACTTCGTCCGTGTTCTGTGTTCATTCAGGACGTGGGCGATCATGGTTCTTCATAACTTCCTGTTTTTTCTATCTCAGTAAATTTTATCTTTTTGCTTTCTCTCCGAATACTGTTTTGCCAACATATTACCCAAGCTTGTTAGGTAATTTATTTGCTACTTTCTGTCGCTCTTACATTCATTATACCCTGTGAGTGTCAAAGTCACAAGCACTCTTTCACCAATATGCGCCGTATAAATTTCAAATGTCTCTAATTCTATGTGTCCAGTTTTTTTTCTCATTTTCCGTAAAATTTCCTCGTTACTTACATGTTCAGTCCATGGTATTCTCAGTATCATTCTGTAGAACCACATTTCTCTTCTTTCGTCCGGTATTTACTGCCATATAGGAGCGCAGATATTACCTTAAACAGATCAGGAGTCTTCTTTGTTCTGTCAAAATTTCCGCTAATATCCGACAGAGACGGGTCTAGCTCTATGTGCATAAAAATTGGATATAATGTCCAGGTAACAATTGCGAAAAAGATGCTCTTCGCGACGAAGTAGAACTGATGAGTGGTTAACAATAGTAGCCGCTTCGTCTATTGACAGGGACCCTTTTAACACCAAAACACAATTACATTTTAACCAGGTCGGAGAAAGTAAGAAGATTCAGTCAAATCACTCGAATAACCAGCAGTAGTATTTCCACCCATATAAGGAGAGTTCATCACTGGTAACTTTTATTTTTCACAGCTTATAACGAAGTTTCTTCATACTTTGCTTAGGATTTGGAAGGTCTTTAACTACGCCAATGCGTCTTCGGATTTCGATGTCACATTTTTCCGTTCTCTGTTAAAACACTTGCCAGATATTTACATTTTTTCATTTGCTTGATTTCGATGTCTCCAATTCGCAGTTCGTGTCCTAAGCTGTTCCTTTAGCTGACAGTGCATTTTGCCTTCTACTGACCTACATGCTGAAGACTACAGAACAGAATACGAATTGAATTCGTTTCATCGACGGATGCAAGCCTGGTCTTCTAACAGCGAGTTCCTTCTGAGACCACCTGTGATTAATTTTCCTCAAAGCGACAACTAATAGACAAATGGAGTCGCGAAGCGAAATGCTTGAATTTCAGTTTCTATGTTATTTCACCTGATACGCCAGGCCACACAAGCGCTGCGGTAATAAAATTCGCGTGCGGCGCCATTGCGACGAATGCAGTGACAACGGATGCATTTTCAGTGTAGTTGGTTAATACCTGGGGTCGCGAAAAATCGTGTGATGAAAAATGGTGAATAGTTTAAGATGCGCTGGCTAGTACAAAGCCATATCTAAAGGGCGCCTAGTTAGGATCAAATTCGCTGCAAGCAGAATTGATGCTTTTCAGTGAATTCCTCAAAAGCAAAAAACCATAGCAGAAAGAAAGTGGAACAGATACATCACTTTCATCTCATGTCGAAAACCCGTTGAATGTTTTTTTTTTTTTAATTCTCCAAAACAAAGGAGGAAGATATGACGGATAGTCGATTAAACTTCTGCTTCCCATACGTCTACATACGTTCTTAGGATCAAAACTACCCAGATCAAGTGACCACTCCCACGCTGATGTCGGTATCCAACAAACCTCGCTATGGTTTTTGCTTTAGAGGCTACCTCATTGCAAAAATCATGAACTGTTCGAAGGCAGAAACACGGTAAAGTGGAGGAGAACAGATACTACACGTTATTTACTCGTTCTTCCAACCAAGTTGACGGTATACGTTACAGGGCTGGTTTAAAATGGAGAGCCTAAGCGTGCGCACATAAGCCAAGTCCAAGAATTGCTCGATCACCGCAACCAACTTTGGTCAATGAAAGAGGTACCGCCTCTGTATTGGAATCTCCGGAACCAAGCATCCCTTATTTATTAGTTGTATTCTGCCCGAAGACAGAAACACAACTGAGATGTAATTTGTCCATCCGAAGGCAGATACTACACTTTGATTTCAGCCTACTATGGAAAGGAAATGTGACAAAGGTTCGTGTTTAATGGGGATTTATTGGTAGTACCGTAGAGAAACTTCCAAATCCACCCCTTC